ATCTCGTGACCACGACATATTATCACGTTCCCATGAGTTATTATGTCGTGGTCATGACAAAACTAAGTGAACCGAACATGTCAGCTCCCGGGCACCGTAGGTCCGAGATAATAATTTTTTAATTTTAAATCAAATTGCACGATATTCAAATTAATTAATCAGATTATATAAAGGCGTCATGTATATATTGGCATGATAAAATCACATTTATCAGTATTTGCTGAAAAAGCAAGAGCGGTGTGAACAGGGTCATACTCATAATGGTCTGCTTAATTGGGCTAAATGAATGTGTTAAACTGACAGCCCTAATGAGTATAGAAAACTTTCATTCTGATGCTGTTTGGTTGCAGATTTAAGATAAGGAAAGTACTCCAAGCGAAGTTTTCAAACCGCCAAGTACATGCGGCGCAATAATGATACCAACTGGCCGGATGTTTGTGCAAAAGCAAGCCGAGGAAAACAAAACGTTTTTCATGTTTGTTCTATTATGAGGCAGGGAATTAGGTCGTTTATCATATGGAGAGCAGAAACACTGAAAGAGGACTTAAAGGGAATATTTGTCAAATCCAAGATTGGAGATGTGGGATTTACGCCAGTTTGCCAAGGACTCGGCAGAAGCTTAGGCCCGCGTGGTGAGGCTTTCTCTGGAGGCAGTATTGGGAACAATAGGCCACTGATTGATGGTCAAGGACATTGAACCCTTCTCTCGAAGCCAGAGAAGACTAGCCTCCAGGGAGAAGGGCTGCAGCCAGCCGTCTTCTGTGCAGATTACCTGGAGATACGGCCACACTCACATAAGCGCCATTGAGATGATTGCTTTCAGTTAATTATGTAAACTGCTGTTTCGTTTGCCACTGCTGTACTACATGTGTTTTAGGGAGAAATGATTCTGAATTTGCACAACAGTATGAATTTAAAACAGTTGACTGTATATTGAATATGTTTTATTTTATTAGATAATGAGCCAACATTAATTTTACTAAGGGTCATCAGGGTTGTGCAAAATTCTGAATTTAAAAATTGCCTCCATTTCAGTTCATGAGATCAAATTTGAAAGAACTGACCACGCCTCACAGGAAGTTGAAGTGGAATTTCAATTGAAATGTCAGAAAGTGGAATTTACTAAATGGCAATTTAAAGAAATTCAATGTAATGGCATTTTGGGAAATTAAATGTTTATCACCCTGGGCCTTAAATCTGTCTGAATGTAAGGCCTATAAAACCGTATAAAGACATGTTCAACTTTTTTCAAACTTTCAAATAAGACTGTCAAGCTGATATTGAAAGTTTGTCTTGACAAACCTTCCCCTTTTTGTTAATAATTTGACTTATTGGGGTTATGTTAATTTCTTTAAATTTCTGCTCTAATGTTCAAAATCAAAAATACAGTGAAAGCAGTAATATTGTGAAATATTATTAAAGAATAAAAGACTGTTTTCTGTTTTATAATTTCTAATCTATTCCTGTGATGGCAAAGCTAAATTTTCAGCAGCATTACTGGTGTCTTCAGTGTCAAATGATCTTCAGAAATCACTCTAATATGCTGATTTGGTGCTCAAGAAACATTTTTTTATTATCAGTGTTGAAAACAGTTATACTAGTTCCTCAAATTCAATTCAGGAATTGACTAATCGGAACCAAAACTATCCATTTTATAGTAATACAATAAAAACTGAAACTTTGGAAATAGTCTTATTATAACTGTAACTTGTTTTATCATAGCATAAGAGCGGAACAAAGAGGGAGAGCATTGAATGGAAGGATTAGGTAGCTTAACGATGGGTCTTGTGTCAGTTAAAAGGAATGGTGGGACTCGAACTAGCAGCTGATTATAGGGTGGCAGCCCCTCTTTTTATTCTGCGCTGTCACACCAACAACATAATGCATAAAAAAAACTTAAGCTGTTAACTAAATCAACCAAAACAAATACACAAAGTAGAACAGAGGGAGAGCTCTTATTTGCTTTAATTGGAGTCTTGTACTTATATATAGGCTGCACGGAAACTTCTGTCTGTGGCCTTAAGCTGTTCCTCAGCGATCATTATGCAGAATTATAATACGTGTCCTCTTCATAATCATACAAATGGAAGGTTTTGCATGCTTTAGATAGAGTGCATAACCATGATTTAGACGCACATGACTGATTACTCCCTGATCCGAACTTAATGAGGAAATTTATGCTCTTGCATCTCAAGATATGCCATCTTTAAGTGGTTAATCCGACGATTTGTTTTTAAATGTGAAATGTCATGGCATTCCTAATACCTGAACTAAATTCAATCATATGTCTGTGGGACCGCCATGTTGTTGCAAAAGCCAGTGCAATAACCTCTTTTCTCACTGTATTTACACACTTTAAATTTAAAGCAGTGTAATCACAAGGCAGCCACTGTCTGGATGGGGAGGGGTTGAGTTAATTAAAATGGCAAGTGCAGTAACAACCTGCACCGTCACAACAACAAACTGATTTAGACGCAGTGGGATATTAAACAGCTCCCTAACTCACACAACACAGCCAGGCAGGTAATATTGGTGCTTTCCATAATTGCTTCTATAGTGCCAGATGATAGGATGTTTCTGGCACGACCCTGAATCATCGCCGACGTTCCAGTAGCTATTAGTCTGATGGGGCACTGGAAAGAAATATACTGTAGGGACAAAGCGTTTCGTCCTTTTACTTTTCACAGGCCATATGGCGTTGTTTGTTTTTTGACGAAGAGTGCTTATAGTTAGATACTGCAGCAGGTGCCTATAGCCTAAATTATTCTGTTCCATTGGTAGCGTTGTGCACACACTCTGTGGCTCTGGCAAAGGGGCCAATGCAGGATGTGAGCTGTTTCCATGGTTACCGGCTCCACTCTCTCTGCCTAGCAAAAACTGTGTCATTATCCGGTGCTTTGGATGGAGGCAGAATGAAGCCACAGTGTACAGGGCAGTTTGCTCTCCTCGTTTCCACCCCGGCCTGACTATGCATCTTGCATGCATCATCACAATTTGCATCATTTTCTATCTCATATACCCATTTCTGATATTCCGGGCTTCCCATTGCAGGTGGCTGTAATTTTTTGGTATAAAGATTTTTAAGCAGCACTGGTAATTTAAAGCCATAAAAGCTGGAATGGAAGCGAAAATGGATGCATGGCTTTTCATGTGATCTTTGAGCTCCCATTTTTTGCAATTCGTGAGAGGACTTGTCACAAAGCAATTATTTTATCAATCTTCCATGCACAAACATACTTATTACTGTCAGATGTGCTATTTGATGCCATGATTCAGTCTTATTGTGGTTTTTAATGCAGGAAAACAGTTCAAACAAATGAATCCATATCATAATGACTCCATTAGATACTGTCATCACATGTATTCGCAAATAACGCGCATAACAAAAATTTGCTGGATGTAAAAGAACGTCAGTATACCAGCCAGGACACATAATCTCCTGAGTGTGTGAGTGTGTGTTTGTGTGCGTGTGATGTACTAATCTCCTTAGGTAGGCCAGTGTCTGTCATTAACAGAGCTGTGAAACAAAAACTCTCATGAAGATGAATGCCTGTACACTCTCACACCTGTTCTGAAGCACCTCTCCTGAGTACTACAGTCAAGTTGTTTTGCTTCAGGGACAGACCTGAAGGCTTTCAGCCTCTGAGATCTGTGTTGGCTGAGAAAATATGAGCATGCCTAGCATTAGCACAGGCTTATCACTGGAGTTTGCTATGGCAAGCATCACTATTACTATTGCTCATGCTTGGAGATAACATTTTGCCTCCTACCATGCTATGGACGTGAATAATACTTTTTTGACTCAACCACCGAGCAACCACACAGCAACATGCAAAGAACCACTCAGTGCACTTTGCAACTACATAGCAACGTCCTGGCAAACACCAGAACACCCTAGCAACCACAAAGCAATATGCTAATAAGAACTCAGAGCATCTTATGGCTAGAACAGATTTTTGTTCTGGTTTACAGTCTGGAGAAGGTGATGCTAGTTGCCAAAAATCAGAGCCAGTCTGCAGATTTGAGTTGGCAGATTTCACAGAAAATCGCATAGTGTATGACTTTAAAGTCTGGTAGTGTATGATCTTAAGTCGTTTAGTGTGTGATGGCCAGTTTTTCCTCTGTAACTATTTACAAAGTCAAAGGCAAGTGTATGATGCCTAGTGTTTTAAATTCTGTTCAGATTTTAAAAGGCGTGTAGTTTATTCCCTCCTTTAGCTGCTGCATAGTAACTCCTTGGCAACCATCCAGAACACCCTTGCAATGGCATAGCAATGTGGTAAGAATCTTTAAAAGTACCTTGGTGATATCCAAACACCCAAAAAAATTTGCTCATAACATCTCAACAGCTGCATAGCAACTCTTGGCAACCACCCAGAACCACCCTAGCAACTTCATAGCAACACCCTTGCAACCACATACTGTAGCAGTGTATTAAGAATCATTCAAAGTTCCTCAGTTCCTCAGCAACTGCATAGCAGTGCCCCCGGTGACCATCCAGAACACCCTAGCAAAGGACATAGCAATGTGCTCATAACATCTTAACAGCTGCATAGCAACTCCTTGGCAACCACCCAGAACACGCTAGCAACCACATAGAAACGTGCCAATACTGGCAACCACCCAGAACAGCCTAGAAGCATGTCAGCAAGTTTTTGCATATTTTTAAATATATATTTTTCATTATGGATGAAAGAGATTTGATGTGTTCTAGCAGGTTCAAAGGTAAAAGCAGAGGAAGCAACATATCTTTAAGATGAATTGCTATGCCCTCTTATTTTTAAGTACCCAGCATGGGTTTAAAACAAGGCATCTTATTGAAGGCCTCCTTCCTGCATGTAAGCTTGTTGTGAGTCTTGATTTGAGAGCGTGAAGGCAGGCAGCGTGAGCTTCGCTCATATGAAAAGGGAGGAGGTACTGCTTGACTGAAACTATGACTCGCTGCCAGGAGAGAGAGAGAATCTGCTAATCAGCGTGTGTCTCTGCTCTGTTGTTTACAGCACCCAACACCGCTTCGTATGGAAGTACAGGAGGCGCTGAAGTCCTGCTGGCCTGCCGGTACCTGATCCTGGCTCTCTCTTCTCTCGTCAGCGTTTACTAGCCCTGGGGATGGCCATACACAATGACTGTAAAGAACCCTTTTGAGCATTTACAGATGCTTTGACATTGCTGATGGCTGGATCCAATCTGGTACAGTGTGTTTGGAAAGCAGCGAGGGATTTTAATCAGCATTGCTTATGTTGGGATGGTAATTTTCTTCTGTGGTGTTTGTCATCATGTAAATACATACGGTTTTAGAGGGTTGGTTTTCTTTCTCTTGTCTTATTTTCTGTTCTTTTCTTTTCTGATTTTCCACTTTGTGAATCAGCACACATTGTCCCCTTCGAATGCTCACAAATTAGCCGAAAGCACACTTTGGAAAAGTGAGGGTGTGTGACATTAGTCTTTGTTATTGAAAAAGGAAAGATGCCCTAGTGTGCCACCTTGCTCTCCGTGCTGGTACATCATTCTCATACCCATAAAATGGGCAAGGTGTTTAAATAATGTGGTTTTTGCCGAGCTCATTTAAATCCAGTGAACCAAGAAACAATGTTTAAGATTTCACAAAGGGAGAGATATTGAAATTGATATCAAAAGTGATACAGTCAAAGGCGACGTGAACGATTGAAGAGCAGCTTTAGTTTAATACTCTAATGTGCATGGTTTTTCCACTGACAGTGAAATATGATTATTCATTTTCTGGACCAAAACTACAGCCATACCTCAATGGTTTAGACCTCTGGGCTATAGACCCCAATTGCATTTAACTGAATTATGCAGAGTACCATCATAAACCTTTCTAGTTATTCTAGAAATACATGAATTAGTTGTTTTACTGCAGGAAAAAATCCTAGATTGCAATCGAGATTAAAATATGTAAACGTATGCGATAAATTTGCCTCTTGTAAAACTATTTGTGAGCCTAATTGTAAAATTAAAATGAGCCTCATGCAGTGGTCAAAAGGTTGTAAAACTGCAAAGCAGAGTTATAGAGCTGTCCTTTCTGCCCTGGGGGTCTTTAAAATAAGAGCTCTAATATAAAAAATGAATAGAGAAAATGCATGTGTTGCATTTGATGTTATATTAAATAAGAGATAAAAATAGCGCATAAAAGACTTTCTTTAGTTGTCAGCATGCAAAATAATGTAACAGGCCAATCCAAAGTAAAAAGTGGAGGGAAAGCAGTAGAAAGTGTGTCATATTTGATGTGCACTTTGATTAAATGACGAAATTATGAACAGTGTCTAATGGAACTTATCATTCAAATAATTATTGTCTTTTTTTATGTTTTATGGTTGTAATAATTTGAACAAGATTTTTATAATGTATTAACATATTACCTGCTTTGCTTCTGTCAGTGTGAAATAGGTTTGAATAGGGAAGCAGAAAAAAAGAATATGCACTTCCCTTGTGGGGACAATATGAAACTTTCAAGTGTGGATCCAAACATGTGAATGAATATTATTTCAAAATACGTATGCAGTATGGCATAGTTTACAATGTTGTCTTTCATTTTAGATGCCACAACTGTTGTTGATTCTTGTCAAGCGAGTAGAAGTTGGAAAAAAGAACCGTTTGTAATCAAATAATCTACTTTTAACTCAGAGGGTGTGAACCAGTCATACGGTATAATAGAAAACGAGTCACGTGTGTGTATATTCGAAGAAAGTAGAATTAATTTTATCTTATTGGTAGAGCCAGTGTCTAGGTTTAGTTTAACCTCTACCCTAGTTCCCACACACTTGTTGTATACTAAGATGTGCAGAAATTATAAATGTGCTGCATGTCAAATTAATATGTATGTTAAGGTGGCCACTTACCATAAATCGATAATTTGAGAGCAAAACCAGTTTCGAGGCTGCTTTGACTTAATGAGATGTGTTCCACACTACTGAACATCACTTGGCCTGTCTGTTGAGCTACGATGAAATGTTCTTTCTATGTGAAAATCATCACAGAATCATTTCTGCTCAGTGTGCAATACTGGGTCCTTTCCTATGGACTATATTTAGGCTATTTGGTTAACGTGTGACAAGTTTACATTCTTTTTGTTTATTATTTCTTGCACAAAATACATTTTCGGAATATTTCACACTTACAACAGATATATTCTGACATGAGATTTTAGTTTGAAGAATCAGTCACAGAATCATATAGATTTTACCTATATGTCCCTTTGCATATTACTGACCTGAATGCCTCAAAGATCAAACCAAGGGATGTTTAAATATTCATCGCTGTGAAGGCCTGGCTCTCGCCATTGTGATGTAAAAAGTAACATTGCACTTGCTTATCATTACCACAAACCTCCATAATCGCAGATTAACACCAATCACTTTGACAGTTAAATACGCTGCATTTCATTTCAACGTGAAATAACATTTTGAGTCAACTCTAGAAGCAAGTACTGTATAAAATGTGCCTTTAAAACTATTAATTGATATGATCTGTTGCCATTCCATGTCAAATGCCATGTCTAAGCCTCATAAGCATTTGCCATGCATACCAGACAAATCAGTGTTGTGCAGTATTTCTGGCTTCTTTCAGTCCAAACTAAAAGCTAATGAAAGGGGCAATTTTTTTTTAAATGTCTACCCATTTTGAGTTCTGTAAAGATATAAAAGTAGCACATGCTCTTTTAATAAATATTGTGGATGAAACGTTAACAAAGAGCTCATTAAAGCATCATTAAAACTGCATAAGTAGATATCAAGATAAAAAAAAGCAGACAAGAGCATTCATGCATGCATAATTCTCCTGAAAGTTACAGCCTTTCAAAAGAGTCTGTAAATAACAGGCAAACGTGATGCAAATACCAGACAAATCAGTGTTGTGCAGTATTTCTGGCTTCTTTCAGTCCAAACTAAAAGCTAATGAAAGGGGCAATTTTTTTTTAAATGTCTACCCATTTTGAGTTCTGTAAAGATATAAAAGTAGCACATGCTCTTTTAATAAATATTGTGGATGAAACGTTAACAAAGAGCTCATTAAAGCATCATTAAAACTGCATAAGTAGATATCAAGATAAAAAAAAGCAGACAAGAGCATTCATGCATGCATAATTCTCCTGAAAGTTACAGCCTTTCAAAAGAGTCTGTAAATAACAGGCAAACGTGATGCAAATTTTCGCTCTGAGCATCTAATGACTTGATAATCACATTCCTGGACATGCATTAATATTCAATGACGAGTTTAGAAATTTCTCACGTCAGCCAAGCACTAATTCACAGAGTCGTGACAGGTAAACGGAACTTGTGTGGTGCCGGTGGTCATGAAAACCCGATAGTCCGGTGCTATTTTCGAATGGGTTCAAATTACTGCAAGCAGCATGGTATGTTGTGGCCCGAGGAGACCCCTTGGGTTCCAACACCTTCCCAGAGTACTCGCCGTGTGGTATGAGGCAGCAATTTCGGTACTTTTTTAAATCCTATGAGCACATATCGGTATAAAAAATCTTAGGTGGATGTGTAACCCACCCGTGTATGGTCCAAAAAACCCAAACATTTAAGATACTTCATCTCCTATCTCGAGCGAAGCTGCTGGCAAGACAGAATGAAGGTGGTAGGCGGTATTTCAATGATTAAAAACCTGTCAGCTCCATCTCTGTCTTGGCCAGACTCTTTTGAAAGTCGGTTTGAGAGTGCTGTGTGTGCGGTCAGGGGAGGTGATTCTTCTGACCTAGCAGTTAATAAAATTCTTCCTGTGCCTTTGTCAGTTTCTGGAGGATGATTTTGTGGAGTGCTGGAGGGTGCTGCATTAACCAGCTGTGAGCGCTCACTCTCCCAGCAGCACTCTGGCAGGGCTGACGGTAATCTACATAAACCTCTGTCCTTTTCAGAACGCTTGCCAGTAATTGCAGTTTTGCTGTATTCTAATTGACTCCATGGAGCACCGTAAAGAACAAAAACCTATAATCCTTCGCGAAGCCCATTTGGTTTGTGGCCATTGTGTTAAACCTTCAAATGATACGAAACTGATGACAAATGAAGCGGCCGCCATGACTGTACTTAGCCGGTAGGAACGTTCATTGGCAAAATATTTGTCTGGATAATAAAGTAGCTGCCAAAACGAGAATGAGTGAATTCTAAAGCTTTTTTTTTTCTTCCTCGCCATGAAGTGTTTGTCAGCCCTCTCGCTCATTATTTTCACTGAGCTGGAAAATAAGTTAGCCAAGCACTGATGCAGTGGTTCTGATAATGCTAAGGTTTTAGCAGAGCCGTCTTTCGCTGAGCTCTGTTTGAAACCGCCGATTGTGTCTCATCAGGAGAAATGTTTAACGTGAAAAGCAAGGGATCAATTTAAAACGCAAGTCCAGGGTTTTATAAAAACACACCATTCTGTTTTATTCACCGTTATGTCTCATTAGATGTTGGTTGGCCTGGTAATTGTTGCTAGCTGTTTTGAATGGCATGGGCTATTTGTGTTGGCACCGTTCATATCTTAAGCAGTTATTTTGTGAAGTGGAATAAGTCCACCAGTGAAACCACCCAATTATTACTGAATAATTGAGCACAGAGAACACCCGCCAGAACGATCCAAATTTAAACTAATGTTTTTTGAAAACATTTGGTGAGCTTTGGTTACTTTTTGTATATACATGTTCATTTGATTTCGGTACCTTTTATTTTGTTTTGTTCAATTTGGTGACTAAGTAAAATGGACATTGTAACCATATTGGGATGGCTGTACTTTTATTTCCTCAACTCTTGAAGCTGAAATTTCTGTGATGAGAAATTTGAAATGGTCATCTTTACTTACATGTGTATGGAGATACTTTAGCCACCAGGGATATAGTTGTATATTTTAGGCTCTAGATCACTGGAATGACATATATGGCTTTAAGTGGCACTGATATATATTGATATTTGTCAAGAAAAAAAAAAGAATCATATACTTTAATTACTTTAAAGCTTACATTGTGTATAGCACGTATGCAAGTTCATTTTCATCATGTTTGATGTCATTTTGTAGCAGTGGTTTGATACTAATAAAGTTGGAAGTTGGTGATGGAACTGTGAAATGTGCATTACATGATACTTAATGAAATGTTGATATTTTTAAAGTCATCTGCATATGATATAATTAAGACAGAATGCAAGATGGTGTGTTTTATTGCATTTAAAATAAATATGAATACATTTAAATTCATTTCCAGTAATTAAGACTACAGACTTCTATGTGAAAATGTTACATCCCACATAATGTCGCACTCACTGTAATAATGAAAACAACTAATTTGTTAGCTCATTTGTTAGTTAATTTGTTTATTTTTTTCTGTCCTTTTCAATCAAGTGCCATAGATAGACCCATTTAAAGTGAATTTACACCACAGTGCTGATCATGTAGTTGACAGTGACATTTTCTCTCATTATGGAAACATTCCTCATGCTATAGCAGGATTTTTTTCTGTCTTTCATGTTAACATTCCTCGTTTGGTTTCTCATCAGGAAAATAATGTACTGGCGGGTCTGTTGAAGTCTATAGAGTTAATCCCAGTCTTTGAATTTCCATGTCAGTGGTGCATGGCCTGCTACACTAGGATCCAAGCAGCGCCTCATGGGAGACGGCGTTTTATGTGTGCTGGAAACAAGCTGACCTCCTGCTGCACTTGATGAAAAACCCAAATTGCCAAAAAAGACCATTCCGCAGTGACTACATTTGGTTACATCTTGTGCAATTCATGTTTATAGAGTGCATTCTACACTAAAAACCTTTCACCTTTCTTGCTGAAAAACACGTTGTATAAGCGTGGTCACAAAGAGAATCATACCCAGAATTTAGTGTGGAAATGATTTAGTACTCTTGAGTCTGTCAGCCTCCGCCCACATCCCCATGACAGATGTCCACACTGCAGCATATTTATCTTTCATTTGGAGAACAGGCCAGGTCATTTTCAATGGCCCTCTTAAAGCCTCAATTAATGGCCCACATCACAGTGTTCCTTCAACTTCAAGAAAATGCTGCACTGAATAAAGAACACCAGTTGGAGGAGGTGTAACGTTGCAGTGGTTTTTTGTTTTGTTTTTTATTTGTTTATTTTTGCACTATGCATCTCAAATTTTGATATAATATTTATATTTATCTGCTACAAATTAAAGTAGAAACAATACAACTCAATATTTGGTGGATTCAAGAGGATTACATTGTAGCATTAAAGGGGTCATATGATGCGATTTCAATTTTTCCTTTCTCTTTGGAGTGTTACAAGATCTTGGTGCATAAAGAAGATCTGTAAAGTTGCAAAGACTAAAGTCTCAAATCCAAAGAGCTATTCTTTATAAAAGTTAAGAGTCAGCCACGCCTACCTAAAACGGCTCGTTCTAACACGCCCCCACATGTCTGCATCACGATGTGGGAAGATCTGCATAACGCCACCCAAATGTTCACGCAAAGAAAGGCGGCGTAACTTTTATTCTCGCTGTAGTATTGTTGTTGCCGCCGCTGCCATGTCGTGAAGGTGCTGTGTGTTTCGTTGTGAAAGCGAAACTACTTTGTTTGGCCTTCCAAAAGAGGACGATATCCGCTTCGTCATGCCTAGAGCTGATCTGTGCTGGTCGCTGAGGAAATACATCAACTTCACGCTGTGGCTGTGGATCGCCAGATCGGCTTTCACCGTGGATGAAGCGGAGTCCAGCCCGGGGTCGTCACATGTGGTTGCCGCAC